CAGTAGAATGAGGTGTGCCTGTGTTGGAATTCAACAGACACTGGAATGGAATGGCTGTCATACATGTAGAGATGCTGATTTAAGAAATATTTGCAGTGGTTTCAGAGCTGTATATGTATGTATGTATATGTATGTATGTATGTATGTATGTATGTATGTATACATATGTATGTATACATATATATATATATATATACACATATATACATATATACACACACACACACACACACACATACACAACAGGTCAAATGTTTTAGAACACCTACTCATTCAAGGTTTTTTCTTTATTTTTACTATTTTCTACATTGTAGAATAATAGTGAAAACATCAAAACTATGAAATAACACATATGGAATCATGTAGTAACCAAACTACATGATTGTTAAACAAATGAAAATATATTTTATATTTGAGATTCTTCAAATAGCCACCCTTTGCCTTGATGAGAGCTTTGCACACTCGTTACAACAACATATTTGAGTGATATAACGTTATTCACCATATAGCCAATTATTTACTATTATTCTGCATCACATTTTGTGATATCATTTCTGCCAATGAGGAGAATTTCTCCTTTTCCCTTTAAATAATTCAGTGTAATGGAAATCTTGTCAGGGATCCCGAGTGGCGCAGCGGTCTAAGGCACTGCATCTCAGTGTTTGAGGCGTCACTACAGATCCCCTGGTTCGATTCCAGGCTGTATCACAACCGGCCGTGATTGGGAGTTCCATAGGGCGGCGCACAATTGGCCCAGCGTCGTCCGGTGTAGGCCGTCATTGTAAATAAGAATTTGTTCTTAACTGACTTGCCTAGTTAAATAAAGGTACAATAAAAATAAATAAAATGCGTGGAGGGTTGCCAGGTCCAATTAAGATTTCCAGGGTAATTGCAACTAAAAATCCGCCCACAAGACCTTAAAACTAGCAGCAAGAGTGGAAATAGCGCTTGTAGTCTGGCGATATATATGTGATTGTTTCTGTTGAATTGTGTTTTGTATGTTTGAAATGTTCTTGTCTGTATGTCTAAAACTGTACATGTCAACATGTTTACACAGGGCACAGCCGTAAAAGAGATCCAGGTCGCAGTCTGTTTTTCCCTGTTAAAATAAAAGATTTACAAAAAAAAAAAGTCATAAAAACTGGAAATGAGTGACCTCTGATTCGTTCAGCCATCCCTATGGGAAAATAATAGGGACGCCGAAAATAAGGTCTGAGGTTAACACAGGCTTAAGATAACTTATACGTTTTGTTCCATGAGATAATATCAGTCAGTTAACATGACCTTTATAAATTATGAAGTCTTTATGTGCTTTTTTAAATTACATAAATTCTTCAAAATTCACAAAATGAGGTGTTAGCTGATGAAGATTATCTCATAGAACAAAACATATAAGATCTCCTAAGCCTGTGTTTTCCACAGACCTTATTTTTCGGCGTTTATCCAAAAACCCTACAAAAACCACATTCACTTTCACTTTGTCCAACGAACCATGGCAGAGTTACATTACTATTTCTCTCTACGACACGAGGGAGAAGTATGTAGCTAGCTAGTGCTGTTCGTTGTTCTTATATCACTTGTCATGGCATGGGCGCGTGCTGGCGCTGCCCTCCTCTCACTCACTCACTCACCTGCATGCAGCGCTTTCTCAACACACACACACCCCTCCGGCCCTCCTCATCACTCACTCACTCAGCAACAGCCTGCCTGGTAGTCTGCAGCAGCAGGTAACAGTGAAATGTATAGATTATATTTGAAAGAGAAATGCCACAGTGGCCGCGGTGCAATTTAGAAGTAGCCCAAAAACCTGCAACCCACGACCAATACATTTTCCCCTGTGACATCGTTTTCAAAGTAGCTAAATGTGCCATTGTACAGTGCCCCTGGAGCAATTAGGGTTAAGTACCTTGCTCAAGGGCACAGCGACAGATTTAAAAAAACAATATTGACCTTGTTGGTTCCGGTATTCAAACCAGCAACCTTTCGGTTACTGACCCAACGCTCTAATCTCGAGGCTACCTGCCGCCCTGCTAAAACAATCTGTTAAACATTAGAACATTTACTCATCTGACTACTTGAATGGTTCGTCTGACAGGCAGCCCAGATTACAATGCATGTTAGTAGCCTCATTGAGAATGTTTTAATTTTGACAGCAATTAAAAAATATGAAAATAAGTGCCTTTTTAGAAGGCTAACCGTTTAGACTAGCCAGGTAACATGGCATGAACGATAAATTGAACAAAAAAAAAATTCTACTGTGCAAGGTGGCTATCATAGCTAGCCAGCTAGTCAAAAAACCACGGCAAGCTCAGCTATCATTGATTAATATTTTGTTAGCTAGTGACGTTAGCAGAACAGCTTGATACAGTGCAGGATTTTTACAATGGATTGTTGATTTCACTATGTACCTTGGCAGCATCGTCTGGTAAGTCTCTGTTAACAACCCTACATGCCTGTAGCTAACTCTTTCAGAACAGAAGCTTAGCTAGCTTGCATTGACTGAATACTCGTTTTTCTAGCCAGCTGTTTCTAGCCCAGCTAGCTAGATAGCCACTCCTAGGTTTGGCACATCTGAAGTCCTTCACTGCAAACCATATTGAATACCATTTTATGCATAGTGTACATGAGCTGCCTGCAAAAGTGACTTTATTATTGTGGTTATTACCATACAGTTAGCTTACTAACCTTGTTTGCTGTTAGCTAGCATGCAGGCTAACTTTGGCTAACACAGTACCATGGCCATGTCAAAACTACTGTAATGTTTTAATTCTTAAAAGTCTAAGCCATTGGGGGGGGGCTCTAAGCTGACATATGGAATTGTTTCAAGATGGTCATACTATGGATCATTTAGCTATTTGATTTAGAATTTTAGGTATAAAAAAAATCTATATTTGAAAATGATTTGATACAAATTTATTTGATAAAATATCAAATTTGGCCTTTACTACTATAGCCCAGAGAAACGCATTGAATAACACATTCATAAATAGCCCAAAAAATAAAGTAAAACAATAAAATCATAAGAAACAAGGTTTTGAAGTGTTTGTCCTATATCTAGGAGATATAAGAAAGCTCAGGAAATATACAGTACCAGTCAAAAGTTTTAGAACACCTACTCATTCAAGGTTTATTTTTTATTTTTACTATTTTCTACATTGTAGAATAATAGTGAAGACATCAAAACTATGAAATAACACATATGGAATCATGTAGTAACCAAAAAAGTGTTAAATAAATCCAAATATATTTTATATTTGAGATTCTTCAAAGTAGCTACCATTTGCCTTGATGACAGCTTTGCACACTCTTTGCATTCTCTCAACCAGCTTCACCTGGAATGCTTTTCCAACAGTCTTGAAGGAGTTCCCACATATGCTGAGCACTTGTTGGCAGCTTTTCCTTCACTCTGCAGTCCGACTCATCCCGAACCATCTCAATTGGGTTGAGGTCGGGGGATTGTGGAGGCCAGGTCAATTTTGTGAATTTATCTAATTTATCTAATTTAAAAATACACATAAAGGCTTCATAATTTATAAAGGTCTTGTTAACTGACTGCTATTATCTCATAGAACAAAACGTATAAGTTTTCTTAAGCCTGTGTTAACCTCAGACCTTATTTTTCTGCGTTTATTCCAAAACCCTATTATTTTCCCATAGGGATGGCTGAACGAATCAGAGGTCACTCATTTCCGGTTTTTAGGACTACAAGCTGGCGAGCGCTATTTCCACTCTTGCTGCTAGTTTTAAGGTCTTGTGGGCGGGTTTTTAGTTGCAATTACCCTGGAAATTTACATTTACACATTACACTGAATTATTTAAAGGGGAAAGGAGAAATTCTCCTCATTGGCAAAAATGATATCACAAAATGTGATGCATAATAATAGTAAATAATTGGTGAATAACGTTGTATCACTCAAATAGGTTGTTGTAACGTAGCTAGCTAACTTAGCTACTACATGATTGAGTATTTCTAGCCGAGTTTCAGTGAATGTCATCCTTGCTTGAGGGTCTTCAGCTTTCAAGCCTGGCCCCTGGGCCCTCAAACTAAAGAGATTATAAACTGGATATCTATCCATCTATCTATACCTAAATATCTATCTATCGCAAATAATGTAGCTCGGGCACCATTGCCATTTAGCTTACTGTCATTAGTTACAAGATAGGCCTAAATAAACTGTCAAAACCAAACTGTCAGCTGTCAAACATGGGTGGCCTCAGCACGGGTACACGGGGCGTTGCTTGGATAGCTAGCTAGCTAACGTTAGCTAACTACCCCCATCAATTCGAAGGAATTGTATTTTCATCCATTTTGCAAAAATAAAGACAATGATACATTGTGTTAACGTTATACACAATTTCATACATACATTTTGCGACGTACCTGAACATTTCCATTCGATGTCTCGCCCCTTTTGATGGTTTTCAGTCCATCGTAGTCGTCCCTCTTGGTGGTTCTGTGCTTGGAAGAAACTGTTGATGCTGTGACTCACGCGCAGCCTACACAAGAGCAAGACACGCACGTGATGAGCAGAGCAAGTGCATCAAAAATACCTTTGTTTTAGCGTCATCTGGTGGTTAAAAGCTGCAATGTAAAAGCTGCAACGTTTTCAATTATACGTTTTTCCAACGAAAATGCTTACAGTATTTGACTGAGAATGTACAAAAACATTTGCCATCCTATCTCGAACCAGGATCATATTGTTGTTGAGTGGTGAATGAATTGGTTGGTTTTTGGGGGTGATCTAGTCATACTCTCCTATTCTTGAATAACATTCTGGGGGGAAGCATTTAGCTAAGTTATTAACTGGACACGTCTGTTTATTATAGACTTTATTTTTACGGCTTTATTAAAGGCTTTACTAGAAGCAAGTCACCTGTCTTGAATCCAGCTCACACACAGGTGCATAACCTGTCTCTTGTCCTGCTCCCCCCTCTTCCCAGTACCGACATTTGTTGCTTAGTAACACGTCCAAACATCCATTGTCTGTCATGGCTTCCAGGTCGCACAAAGTTGATAATGCGCCCTTTACCGTCTGGAACTCGGCCTTTGAAGACAGAATGTCGCTGCTTGCAAAGCTGGAAGAGTCCCACAGGGCCGTTAGAAAGGTTTGTGCTGGCACTTTGTGCTGCAGTGCTAGAAAAATAAACTTCTCAGTGCATGAAATGGGTGATCTAAATTGCCAACTCATAACACCCCAGTTGTGATCCATAGCCCTAGGCCTATAGATTGAGTGGTGTGAACGTTTATTATTAGATATGTGTGTGCATGCAATAACAATGCAAGTCCTTTTTAAACAAGCAAACCTGGAATACTCCCTTTACACTGTGTTGTGAAACTGCCACTGTGGAGTTTATAGTGTGTCCCTCTTTCATATTCAAATGAGGCCCTCTTTCATATTCAAATGTTACCTTCTACTACAAGAGGAGAATGTTTCGTTGTCATAGAGACTTATCCTCATCAACTGCCAATCCAGAGAATAAATAAGGTACCCAAGCATAGGCGGTTAGTGCCGTGGAGTGTACTGTAGGATGTGTGTGTGTAGCAGAGGAGGTCCTGCCTTCTCCCTCATTCTACTACCTACCAACATCCCCTTACAAATAGGGCTGGGTATTTTATCAGTGGATCTGTTGGCAGTCTTGCGTACTGCAGCTGAGCCCAGAAGGCTTGGCTTTATTGCACTAGGGGGAACAGTAGGCCTCCAGGATATACTGTGCAAGTGGTAAACAAAGGGAGGGCTATCTGCTGCTGCTGCTGCTGCTGCTGTAGCCCCAGTCAGTACTTGACTGAGAGAGAGACAGACAGAGAGAGAAAGAGAGAGAGAAGAAATGGAAGCATCCAGCCAGCTACTAAGTCTTGATCAACAGAAGGAGGAAGATGTTGGGACTAGCTTGTTTCACTGCCATATGAAGCAAAGAAGGCTTTTGAATCCTCAAGAGGAGATGGTTTGTGTAGTTCATTGTCTGGGAGGGCTATAGGAACAATATTCAAGAGTCAAGTTCAATGCTTTACTTATCTAAGAGTCCAAATTGTTTGCAATGTACTGCAATGTTAACTATATGATTTGAACAGCTTTTACTGTATAAAGAGTGTCCTGGAAGGATAGGCTGTTTATGGAAAGGACCGGCTCCAGGTATAAGCGGCATAAGCAATCGCTTATGTCTTTGATTGTTTGTGTGATTGGTCAGTGGGTCGCTGGTTTGTTTTCATTATTTTTTTATTTTTTATGTATCGTTTATTTATTCAGTCGAGACAAAATAACATACACAAACAACCGAAGAGCAACATATTTATTTACTTATCACTATCTCAACCAAACCCACCTCATCCAGAGTTAGGTAGGCTTGTAGCCTTAAGTCTTTAAGTAGGGCCAATAGGCCTACTGTTATTTGTCTATTCTTGATACCTGTTCTCTCACTCATCAGATAGCTTAATACCCTTCTTCTCTGTCTCTCCAGAAGTTCCTGTTACACCGGTTGATAGTCGTCGCCAGCCTCCCCCAGCAACACGCAGACAGGAAAGACCTGGGAGGTCAGCCAAACATTACTGTAGAACACATTTAAGAGGCATTGTGCATTCAAGGGCGGATTACAAGGCATCACTATTTCACTGATAGAGGTCCTTCCTGTACATTGACTCAGGTTTCTCCTTCTCCTCCTGAGCAAGGTTTTGTTTATAGCTGATAGGTCAAATCAAAATCAATGTTCAAAATGCTTTATAATGTGTTTATGAGTCTGTGATGTTGGGACATACTTCCTCTACAAATACTCTTCACAGAAAAAGTTACTTTACTTTTGGATGCTCCTTAGTTGGGGTTATTCGAACAAGTTTCTTGTTATGGGCCACATTCTGGCTGTCACACCTAGGTCTGTGAGTGAGAAGGATGGACATTATGGTGTGATCCTTATTCAATATAATGGATGCAATAAAGGTTATTCGTGAAAACCAAGACGTTTCCAGTAGTGAGATACCTCACTCTGTTATCATAAAACCGGGGTTATGCAAGTAACCGTACATTCTTTCTCCTTTGGTTGTACAGTACACTACGAAGAGCTGAACCAGCGCTTGCAGAGGTATTACCAAGGTGACACTATCACAGGTCTGCTTTTGCTGTACCCAACCTGCATGCTTCATGTCATTGAGGTAATCAAGATTAACCAGTAACACCTATTAATAAAACCCATATAATATATACAAATCTGTCAAAATCCAGGTCAATGCAACGATAAGGCACTAGACTCAGTTACTTTAATAAGAGGTAAACCTCCATTGCCCATCTTTCCATTGATTAGCATAATTATATGATATTTTCATTAATGACCATGCTCTTTGTTTCTCTTCTAGTCCTCCAGCGAGGTTCTTGTGTCTCTGCTGCAGGATCTGAGAGACATGCAGGAACAGCCACACTGGTAGAGTATCTTACTTCATGCAGATTTGAATCAATATATCATCGTTTTATCTCTTCTGCTACTAAGTTCCGAGGGTCAAGCGTGTGCATTCCAACCAAAGTCAATATAGCTTGACTAAAACCCAGCCATAAACATTGTTTGACATGCTGTCTTGATGTTGTCATGGTCCCTATCATCGTCATGCAGTGTTCTGATCGAGGCACCCAGGGTCTTGGTGATGTCACATGACCTTCCCAGCAGGCTGTTCCAGCAGTGGAGCTACAAGGTGCTGAATGTGCAGGCCAGGGTGGGTGGGGCGCTGAGTAGAGACGGGCCAGAGGAGGAGGAGGTGGAGGACACAGAGACACTGGTCAGCACCACCCTGTCTATGCTGCTCAAGCTTGGGAATCACCTCCTCAAAGCCACCAAGGTGTGTCAGCATCGTTTAGACTACAGAGACTTATCAAATCCTGGGCTCATTTAAAGGAAGATCCACCGATAACTCGGCCACCTGCTATTTTTGAATGAAATTAGTCCTACTCTAGATACCATAAGTGGAATCTCTCATTTCTGACAGACAATTTTTTTGGTGCCTCTATCATCTCACTATATATTTGTACAGGGGTCAAAGATGCCCCCGGGCTCTGTTCTCGATGAGGTACCAGAGATGATAGTCCCTCAGTACATCCTGGTTCAGCTCCTGTCCAGAGGAGACCTTCTGAGCCCCCAGCAGTACCTGCAGGCCTACCACACCCCTCTCCACATCCTCATGGACTCTGGTGAGCAGGACTTTACTCACTCATCAACAGGGTTGGGGTTAACTCCATTTCAGTTCAGTCAATTTGAGAAGTGAATTGAAGTTCCAGTACATGAATTAATTGAACAAATTGTCAGAGAAAATCAATGGCTCTCAGATTGTTATATAGTTCACGTTAACTGATAACTTTGATACCTAAACATTGCCACATGCTGTATGTTCTGTGATTGTTTAAAGGGCACGTGTTTGGAAGCAGTCAGCTAACTACAGTTTAGTGTTTGGCCAAAAGGTCAAAGGTATGGGTCAGCATGTCACATCAAACCAATGCACGTGGTTTGACCCCAGAGAATAACATTGCATGCATCATCTCAAATTGGATCTGAATGACTTTGAATGGATTGTATCTCTCTGAATGAAGGATATTTTGATTCCGGCACTGTATATTCCTGTGTACGCCAGGGATTCTGAGGTTATGCTGTGCATTTGAATCTTATTCCTTGTCTTTGTCTCGTGTTCTTGTTCTTGACAAAGGCCTCTGCATGTAGGCTTTGATATAGGGATTGATTTTGTGGACACTGTCAGTTAGGATGATTCACATGTTTGATATTATTTCCACAGAGCGTACTTGGCCTCCACCTGAGCATCTTCGATGTGAATTCTGACTTCTGATGTGATACAACTGGATATTTGAATGTGCTTCCTACTCAATATATTTTCAGAGTTCATGCCTGGTTATTTGTATGTGTTATTGAAAACTGCCATTCATCTGGACTATGTGTAATAATTGTCCTTGCTCTAAAAACAGATACTACATAACAAGATACATTGTTTGGTACTATAGCGTTAAAATACACAGGGACTGCAGGATTGGTTGGTTGTATATTGCAAATATTTCATAAATATTTTACTGAATGTGAACTGGCATTAGATGTATTTTCTTTCCCGTGTATATACTGTCACACCCAAACCATACTCACAATAAGGCATGATTAAATACACATATATAAAAAAACATTTTTTAATAGTTTCAACATTCTGATGAGCATTGTTTCTGATCTTACAGTACATGTCCATAGTAGATGTTCCACTCTGTGACTGGGAGGGAGTTTGTCCCCTCTCTTTATTTCAGTGTCCCCAATGTCACTGCAGTTTGACATAGTACAGTAGGGCCTTTATATCTAAAAACAATGTCTCCAGAGCATCAATCTTTCCATTTTATTTAGGCCCCCTTGTGTTAATTTATTACTTGAACATAAACTATGCAAAAAGGTTCATAAAGAGGTACTTGCCTACCAAACAATAGCTGCATGCACCACGGTGTCATAACTTACAAATGTTCATACAGGCAAACCAGGTGTGTTTTATCCCACATTTGTTCAGGCTTGGCTGATTGGCCAACAAAAAAAGGCGTATCTTTGTTTTGCCTAATTTGAAGCAGGAGTGTTTTTTCATCTGATGGATAATTGGATTGATTTATGCCCATATAAGGCTATCCTCAGAGAATAACTAAAATGTTTACAGACAAAAATAAATACACTGCCAGTCATCCATTCAGTGTCACTGTCATTCTGTCCTGACTCATTAGGCAAAAAAACTAGAAGTTAGATGCTATATTGTCTCCGAGTTGTATTAAGTCATTAAGTTAGGCAATTATTAAGCCATGCTTTTAGATGTATAGTACTTCATATATTTATGTGACTCTGCTTAGTGATAGTTGATTGACTGGATGGAACGTTGGAGCTCAACAAAAATGCAATACAGGAACTGTGGACTGATAAACTGAGCATACGGCAGAACTGAATAATTCTACCTGCATTGCAAGGCCCTTTTTCTTTTCACATATAAAAAGAAATATGACAAGCACAGGTAAATAGGACCAACGATAAGACAAATTTCACAAGCATGATGAAAAAGCATGCTGCTGATTTTCACACATGGGACAATGTCTAGTCATAACCCCCAAGCCTGTTAACATCACTACCAAACATCTGTCCACCCTGTTAAAACTACATCCACAACACACAGAATTCCCCCTTAAAACAACCTGAGGCAAACAGTCCAAATAGTCACCAGTACATTCCACCTATTCATTTAAAAAAAGGCCTTTTCTCTTACAGTAACTCTCAACAGGCATGCTTAGAAAAACTATAATAGTGGAAATAGTCTGAGGAATCTCTCCCACCAACAACTGCCCTTAGTAGACAGGATTTCTGCTATTAATAAAGCTGTGTGTTCAATAAATATATACAAACCATCACTTCATAAAAAGAAGACAACCCCTTTCACAGAACAGCAACAGAACAGCACATTATCACCACAGACAGAAGTCCAGATAGACACAGAACTGAACATTCACTTAAACACATCCAAATTGTAAGAACAGCTTTCAAAATGTTAATGCAATTTTGTCTATATTATAATTTTTTCAATTCCTCTAAATCATATGGCATGGTTAGCATTTGTTGCAAGTAATGATACAAAAGACAAAAGCAATAAAACATCAATATAAACTGTAAAAAACATCAAATCGTTTTAAAGAGCGTTTGGGACCCCCTTCATCTTTGAGGTTTCTCTGTTTCTCTGTTCACAAATACTGTAATTGCACTTTCTTTTATCGTTTTGAAATTCAACATTTTTCTTCTAGAACTGTCTACTCAGCATTGGGTTGAACTATATTGCTTTCAGAGGAGGATATTAGTCTTCTACACTGGGGAATATACTCTGTACTGTAAGGATGGAATAACTAGGTTGACTCAACCGGTTTTTGCCTCGAGAGATGGTGGTCCCCTTTTTACTTACCAATTGACAATCACGAATACATCCCTTATAATAGCTCTACTGGTCAGGCTGTTGACTAGAGGAGACACACAGTGATGCAGCACTTTCCATTCAGACATACTGTATCATTAAGCTCCAGGCTGATGACTCTGCACTAACAATCCTATAAAATAGATTTAACCTTGAATCTATGTCAGTGCTATATGGTACTGTAAAGCTTGCGGCTGATAACCGTGCAAAGCTTACTGCATTTAGTTAAGTGTGAATCTGGCAATATTGTGGTCAGGACCAGAAATACACAGACATGTCAATATATAAATACTTTAAGTCAATATTTATATTTTTCATATCTTAATATATATATATATATATATATATTTCATCCTCTCCCCCTGTTTTATATACAGACATATACAGAGGCTTCAGTATTTACAATAGTGTTGTGATGGATAAAATATATAGCACTTGAACGTAAGAGCATGAAAGAGCAGCATTTGTTGTGGCTTCCAGGCAATAATCAGTGTTATGGATGGAACGTTTCTAAGGAGAAAAGGTAATAGGTTTGTATAGGTCATGGGCGGGTGCCTCACCTTTGAACCCCAGCACTGGATAAACAGATTAGACCATTGGTCTTATGTGTTGTGGATGTCAATCAAACTCCTCTGCACCGTAATCATCGGTATACAGTAAATACTTTCATCACAATAAGAAATACTTCACATTCCTCATCATTAAATTATTATAATTTTTAATTGTGTGGGGGGGACTGAAACAGCAACCTCAGTATAATTTCAATGAGAGCCTATTCTCATTCTCTGCATGATAGAATATAAACATATATTCTAGCACCAGAAGAAATGTACCTATATTCCGAATAACACCCACACACACAGGCACAGAACTGCACCCATATACGCACTCACTCTCACAAAAGAGTTTCCAATATTTGCTTTCAAACAGCTGAGCTGGCTCCCCAGTGAGAGGCTTTTGCCAGAGAAGTCTCAGGGCGCTCATTAACAAACCTGAGGCTGAGTTACAGAGACCACAGAGAGGAGGTATACAGATGAAGGATCTTAATTTGAGCCAGTTTGCTACAGCAGGAAAATAATCCTGCAGCAACTGGAAATGTGAATTATTATGTGGATTATAATTAATGGACATTTCTGTAGGGGTTGATACATTTTTCGTAAGGGAAAATCAAGTCTGAAATTTCAAAGTGGAAATTACAAACTTCAGAAGCCTTTTTATGCCTCAAATACACTTCAAGTTTTTAAAAATCCTGCATTGCAGGAAAGTTCTCCTGCAACAGGGTGATCAAATTAAGATCCTACATCTGAGTCCCACCCTGCAAAGTCCACTCATACTCACTATTCAGCAATCCATTCCTTTTAGAATTATTCTGTTTATTTGGTTTCTATGCCCCATTCCCTCTACAACATAGACAGTTCTCCCACTGAGCTCCAAGCCTCTCCTATGATAATGTACAATCAAGTACATGCTAGACTATAGAATATCTGTATACCGTATTTATAGTTCTATATACAGTAGAATATCTGTATACCTATGGTTGAATTATTATATGACTCATGTAATAACTCCTGTATCTCTGTTAATATCATATACTCTGAAATGTACAGTATAAACCGTCATTTTAAATAGTCAATAATATATTATTCTGATTTAACTTCCCCTCTAACAGCCAAATGCAATCGTAAACCCCCCTTTGAAGAGTGTGATTGTGAATTCAAGCTCAAACTGGTGTTGCAGTTTCATTATATTTTCACTCACAGACTATGGCAGAACTCCCACTCAATGATGCAGCACATTTCCAAACACATCACACAATTCACAAACACACACACACATTCAGCCAGGACGGAACAAGGGGTTGCCAGAATTCCAGTGACCTCAGAGTACAAGAATGGGTTTAGGATGGCGTCAAAAGGAATGCTATAGCCTTGGTGACGGAGAGGAAATCAGAGATATACTGTCCCCTTCCATTCCTACTGCACTCACAAGAGGAGAACCCATTCCACCAAGCAACTTGTTTTCATGTCTTGTAAGTTAAAGGCAATATTGCAAATGACTCAAATAAAGCAAAAATAAAATACAAATAAACCAAATTGGTTAAAATAAATCCTTAAAAATATGAATGCACCACAGATAGAATCAAAGGAATCTAGTCAACATAAAAACCTAGCATTGTGTCCCTTTCTCTGTATCAAAAGTTTCTCCCCCCATTGTCTCAGTCAGAAACCCTCTGGATATGGATATAGGTATTTTCTGTATTAATATCTGTTACATTTTTTGTAGAAGGACTTTGATTTACAGGGCTGAGCCTGGTGCTTGGTCTCTATGGGTGGAGGTGAGGTCTGGAGTAAGTCCCATTGGGTCAAAAGTCAGAGAACGGGTCCTGGAGACAGGTTGGAATAGTAGGGCTGGGGGTGGAAACTCGTGATGTCATAGTATCGTGCTCTCAGACTCTTCCTCTGACTCGGCCTTAGGGGTTGGCTGGACTACTGCCACTGAGTTCCTGTAGGGGACCATTTTGGGCTCGTCGAAGATGCCATCCAGTTCTACGTTGATGATGGGGATATCCAGGTTGCAGAAAGAGTCTGGGCAGTCAAAGATCGACATGAGATGAGAAGAGACAAGAGAGAAGAAAATAAGGGAGAGACAGAGAAAATAACTGTTAGTGGTTGCTTAGAAAAGGCAGTTCCAGACATGATTAAGTCAATGCTGAATGATGCGTTATACACAGCAGGGAGGTCAGCAAAAGCCCAGGCTATTGTTTTACACACACACACATCCTCAAAAATGATCCGTGTTCCTAGAGAATTACTGACAGATAAGAGGTAGGTCAGTATGTAATGTAACTCCAACTTTTCTAGCAGACATTGTGGTTGGGGTAGGTTTGTAATACTGTAAATTGCATGCGAAGAAACAATTCCCCAACAGTGTCCAGTGCAGTCACCACAAACATTTATCCATGTCATTACTTTGTCTTTGATCTCACAGTCATGTGAGATTGATGACATCCATTGTGTAACACTGAAATTGACAACAACCAATGACTTCGAAACAGGAAGTGGAATAATCGAGAACATCAGTGGGCGTGGCATAAGGTTGGGGGGGGGTTACTGTGCAGTGTGTAAGCAAGGGGGCAGTTGGCACCGGACAGGACAGAGGTGGTATGCGGCATGGTTTCGGGGAGAAAACAGTAAAGAAAGCTTCTTGGGATAGCAAAATTACGCCAATCTTCTGTGTTCTGTGTGAAGTGGAGTCAGTGGACGGTTTTTCAGACATATCCACAAGCCATGCATCGCGCCAGTCTCAGCCACCATGCAAAGGCCAACAAAATGGGTTAGTGGTGGACTGAACACAGCAGAGATATATAGCTATATACATATGAGAAGTCATGTATACAGGTATATATACAGCAGAGGAGGCTGGTGGGAGGAGCTATAGGATGACATGCACATTGTAATGGCTGGAATGGAATCAATGGAATGGCATCAAACACATCAAACTCATGGAAACAACATGTTTGACTCCGTTCCATTCATTCCATTCCAGCCATTACAATGAGCCTATCCTCCTATAGCTCCTCCCATCAGCCTCCTCTGATATACAGAGAGCTGGAGCCATGCAGCTCCACAGTGAGCCAGGATGGCGGACGGTTGGTTGGTTGGAGGGGTGGGAGGGTGAGGCTTTAGTACAGTACTGGAACTCCTGCTTACCCTAAAAGGCCCTCTCACATTTAGCCCATATTGAACCACTCGCCTCATACCGCTGTAGGCAGACAATAATAGGAGTCGACAAAAAATAAAAGAAAAATATGGAAGTACAAGATAAGAGATAGTGATTAGAATCTTTTTACCTTCTTACCTTTTTTTGTGTGAGTTCCCCACAGTTTTACACAGATGAAAGGGTTAAAAGTATCAGCAGTTTAACAAACTACATAAAATAATTAAATTTGCAGAAACCATATTAATACTCTGGCAGGCACACTGGAGAGTGAGATATTCCACCTTTACCAGAGAAGAGAGTATATGGGCGGGCTCCTACTGTGTTGAAACTCCATTGAAGCGTTTACCTGTGGACATGCTCTCTCCAGGAGACAATCCATCCAGAAGGCCGCCACCGTGCTCCAGAGGTTGGGGGCTGGAGCCAGGGGTGCTGGGGGGCTGCGGCGGGGGTAGGCTGGGCCTCTGCCGGGGAGGCTTGGGAGTGGGCCTAGCCTTGGTGAGGGTGCCGGCTAGCGAGGGAGGGGAGGAGAGGGACGGGGTGGCGGCCTGGGCCTGTCCCGGGGAGCCGATGGTGGCGTAGCCCTGGGGGTAGCTGAAGCCGTATGGGGAGGGGGTACTAGGAGGGGTGGGGGACAGACTGACTGGAGATGGCTGACCTGTAGACTGGTCCGACATTCCCCCAGACTGAGAGTAGGGTTTAGGTGGGATTGGGGCCAGCTTCTTAGCTGTGGAGAGATCAGACAGAATGCTAAGTGTGAGAGAACAGCAACACATATTTTAATTGAGAGGTGACAAGCCAAGACAAAACAATCTGGCTGCTTTGTGCACAGCACGGTCTCTCTCTCACACGCTCGCACATACACACACACACTACTTCCATCAGTACCTCTACTCAGGGTGTGAGGGCTATGTTCAGAAGAGTGCTGTGACAGCCCACCAGAGGGTGCTGTTCCCTGGAAGCCCTGCTGTCCAATCACTGGAGACAGCTCATTGTTCTTCAGAGTACTGGGGAAGAGAAAGCGATATGAACAACAATATGTCATCTTCAAAACATCTTCTTCAGGTCGTGTGTTCATGTGTGTGTGTGTGTGTGTGTGTTCACTGCCTGTCAGTTTGAGGGTAGATGGCCTCAATCTTCGCCATGTAGCTAACAATTGTCAATCAGGTGACCTTATTTCTGCACGTCATGACATCCATAGACATGAAAATCCCCGTAGTTCAATGTCAGATAATCTGAGTGACCACTGACAACTTTCACTATTGCAAGTATATGCACTACTGCAAGTATATGCACTACTAGCTATATGGCAGTGGAGCACAAGCCAATAAAAAAAAAATCCAAGCCCAAGCCTGTAGGCTTAATGGATTTTTTTTCTTGCCTTTTATGGCGCTATGCAGACAGAATGCCAATGGGTAGAGAGCTTGAAGGTTAAAACCTAACCAGTTTATAATAGGATGTGAGTGACAGCTCTCCCAGCTCCAAATCCCCCTGCCCACTGACAGCAGATGAGGATGGGTGATCGGGACTGGAGGGATTTGGAGTTAGGGTGGAACACATTTTAAATGAGGCATCCCTTACAGCTGTTGATGCAAAAGACCCCATTCCGATGAAGGCCAATGATTGCAGAGGAATCATGCCAGCCCATCCATATTTTTCACTTAGTCACTCTTAATCCAATTCATATTCAGAAACATAACTATCCAACTACCATCCAAGACCAACTGGGCCCCTTTAAAATTACTCATTAATGCCCACTATATTCTGCTATTGCTGAGAGTTTTGAATATTCTTTGTTGCTTGGTAACATCCTCCCGAAATCCCTGGCAACATGGAAAGTTATGGATTGTATAAAATAAGGAGAGTTTGGTACTAGAATGCTTCAATAGAAAAGTTCCACGATGGGAGGAATATCCCTTTGAAAAATGAAATTGAGGACAAAAGCAAGAAAATTAACAAAATGTATAAAACAGGATGTTGGCACTTTGGAGGGAGCTCCCTCTCTCTCACGCTCCCCTTTGTTTTCTAATATCTCTCTCTCATCATGTCATTATGAGCCACTCAGGCCTGTGTGTGTTACGGAGACATAGTTCGTGTCCATCTCTGAGAGTGGCTAGTCAATGTGACGTAGTATTTACCTAGTCAGCTTGGCTCCTCTCTCTCGGCTACAGCCACAGGCAGCCCACGGAGGAGGTGCGGACAGGGGGAGGTTAGGGGGGTGGGGACCGAGGGACGGGTCGTGTCGGGTTAGCACGAGGGGGGTTTTGAGGTAGAGAGGGTAGACGTTAGTTTCTGACGGTGGGGACGCATGCGGCGCTTCGGCCAGGGAGCTCTGTTTGGGCAGGTGCAGGGTGCAAGGTTTGGGGTTAGAGTTGATATCAAGCTGCTGTGGGGAGGGAGAGGGAGAGGGGCACGAAGACGGGGGCAGTGGGGGAGGGCTGTAGCCAGACCAGCGGGGGGGAGGTGGGGGGGATGGCCCAGGGGGCACGGACTCGGGACCAGGGGCGACAGGACGCGCGCACTGCGGTGCTCGGGGGTAGAAATGGTGAGGAGGCGGGTAGCAAGAGGAGAAAGAGGAGGAGGAGGAAGAGGGGTAAGGGGGAGGGGGCCTCTCCTCTTCCGGGGAGGGGTAGGCATAACAGGAGTCCGACGCGTCATCGGAGCTGCAATGATAAAAATGTGAATGATTTCACAGGGAATTTAATTGTTCTAAGTCAGGGAGAGGCCAATATTGTCACGGTCTTGTAGTGGAATGAAAAGTGTTGTATAAAAAAAATATATGTGAGCAAGTCCAGTGGGCCATTGTGTCATTTGTGAGCACTCACTGCAGTTCATGTAGTGTGAAGGAGAACAAGTGCGTGTTTTTGTATCAGGGAAGGGATTAGTCAACCAAAGTTGAACAGAGTCACGTTAAGATGGGGAGGAGAGAGGTCTAAGGAGAACGCAAATAGAAAATAGAAAAGAAAAGAGCAAATTAAAAACATTATTTCAGGCCATGCTATATCTTCATCCAGCACCCAAGTTATGAAACTAGTAAACTGTTTGACAAATACAATAAAAAATCAATTTGCAATCTTACATGAGCAGTGTTAATGAAACCTGTTCTGATGGATGGAAAGGGAAAAACATGTACATGCTGCATTGGCAAGCTACTTCTGAGATAAGGTACACACTTTCAAAATGTTATCAGTAATGGATAAAAAGTGCAATCTGAAAACAAATAGAAAGCATACTTTTATGTCCCTCTACAAAAAAACGACTCTCTGATACAACCTGGATATGAAACAAAACCAAGCACAAAAATAACTTCAAGGGTTCTAGAAACTCTGAAGATCAGACTAAAGGACAACAACAACAACCAAAACAACATCACACGAGGTCACGAGGTCAAACCAAGTTTGAGAACACATGCAACAGGTGTGAGGGGCTTCGGTTCGCAGAAAGATGAAGATGATGCGTGGGAAAGAGAATTAGAAGACGTCAATAGACTGAAAAAGTACAACAACGCCGTGTCGGGGTCAGTTTCAGGACGCGAGGAGTGTGGGAAATGGACAGCCTTACCTGGCACGGTCACTGCTAGCGGGAGGAGGGGTTGGGGAGGGGGACGCAGAGACCTCCCCCTGCTCAGGTATGAGAGCATCTGAGGGAGGGAGGGGGGGCTGCACACCCAGGGGCGTGGAGGAGCTTTTACGCGCTGACGACGAGCCCCTGCGCGACACCCAAGAAGTGTCCATCACCCTGACCCCCATGCTGCAGTGGGACAGAGACGCACAGCCAATCAAAGACAGTGGTCAGGGGTCCGGGGTCAACCAAGCTCAGGGAGCCTCATCCTGTAGTCCTTACAAACGTCAGCACACTCTTTACTGAACTATATGAAGTAGAAACACTAGGGAAAGGAAACCTTTGTAATAATATGTCACAGTGTGGATGTATGCCATCACTAGCCGGCTTCCACCCGGTTACGCAACCCTGCACCTTTGAGGCTGCTGCCCTATATACATATACTTTACTCATTTCATATGTATATACTGTATTATATTCTACTGTATTTTAGTCAATGCCACTCCGACATTGCTCGATCTAATATTTATATATTTCTTTTACTTTTAGATTTGTTGTGAATTGTTAGATACTACTGCACTGTTGGAGCTAGGAACACAAGCATTTCGCTACACCCGCAATAACATATGCTAAATATGTGTATGTGACCAATACAATTTGATTTTATTTGTATGGTTGGTCTCTGTGTGACAAACAACTGTTTGCACCTGTTATTGTCGTTTGTACTTGTCAAGCAATCAGAGGAGTACATCTGATGCCAGACATCGCAAAAAAATGCATTTATAGGACAAACCACACACAGTGCGAGAACATTGTTCACACAGGAACTTGACAACAGTTATTTGGCAGCACTCCGTCTGTCAGCAGCACTCTGTAGGGAACATTGAACTATAGGATTACAAGTGTGTCATTTGGACGAGAGAATAATCGTGACTGGAATACTGACAGACAAATGATGACAGAGAGAGGCATTCTCTCCACAGGCAGTTTAGACAAGGGTGAACAGAGAGGAGATACAGGCAGGACGAAGAGTAAGTACAGTACCTTTGAATTTTCCTAACGCTGCTTGATAGGACAAAAACATCACAATAAAGGGTAAGGATCATGAGAAACTCCATTAACTGATTCACAGCAACACTAAATCAAAGCAACTGCGGGAGCAGTCGGGTCAGGGGTTGGATCCAAGATGGAGAGGCAGCAGGTTGAGCCTTCAGGCTTGTATTGCAGAGGGTTGTGGGGGATGGAAGTCATGCTGAGAGTAATGAGCAGAGGGATTTGAGGGGTGAAGATGGTCCTTCCCAAAAGAGCTCCAAGCATGTCCTTCTGGTGAGCCAATTATCACTTCGTTTAGAGCTAATTAGGGCAACATTTCCCCACGGACATAAAAATACCCCAAAATAACACCAAAATAGAGGAAGTAACTTGCAGCAGTGGTTAATGTGGTCGTTTACTATTAAAAGAGCAATGTACAACTATGTATAGTTAAAGGCTACATAGTATTCAGATATTTTATCAACCGATGACAATCTCACACACCAAACAAAGACACGGTCAAGGACATGGCATGACACATCACCCATAGTGTTTGGAGAAAGGCCCCGAATGAATGAAGACCATAACAGAGGTATCAACCTGCCTTCATGGACTTGAATTTGGACACAAAAGAAAAGGAATCAAAGCTGGGAATGCTACTTCCTCATTGGCCTTAGCTTGTACTAAGGAGCAGGATGCTCCTTGACCTGATCCTGCTCTATCTGGAGGGGTGTGTGTTTCTAATGAGAGCAGAGCTCTATTGATTGGTCCCTATACAGTCCTGGCCAGGTTTAATTAGCTTGGTTTATTATGTGGTCCCAGGGCTGAGGGGCTCAGACGGTCTGCTCTGCTGAACAGGGACCGATAAGACAGAGAGGTCATTTGAAAAGAGAGAGTGAGAACATGATTGACTTTAAACTAATCCTCTGCACAGCACAATAACTGCTTACAGCACCACTCACCACCACGGACCAACCTCTTTCTCTGAGCTCCCTGCTGTCTGCCTGTCTATCTCCCACAGTGCATGTCTCTCTCTCCATCTCACTAGTTATCTCTCTCACCTGAGATGAAGAAGAATTCCGTGATATTCTCTCCGCCATTCTCATACCCAGACAAAACCTTTTACTTAGCTCACTTATACAGACTTTACAGCCTTGTATGATCTTATGAAGAAAAACTATTCACATAGAAAGATGACATTATGCTATTTCTATGGCACAGATCTGGGTTAAAATACATGCTTATTTAAGTATATGTATTTGAAATACTTATTTTCTGTGTATTTGAGTATTTTCAAATAATTTGGCAGAATCAACTACTTCTATTTGAAGTATTTGAGAGTATTTTCTAAACAATATCCTATAAATACTATTTGAAACTATTTTCAAATACTTGCTTCCAAATACATTTCAAATATCCCTAGGACCAAACAGACCTGGGTTCAATTGCAAGGGAGTATTTAAATATTTGTATTTGAAAAAAACATTTTCTGTGTATTTGAGTATTTTCAAATACATGGCAATAATTTCTACGTGAATTTCCAGTTCCAAATATTCAATTTATATTTTCAAAGAAAAATTATCAAAATACTTACTTTGAAATTTACATTTTAGTCATTTAGCAGACACTCTTATCCAGAGCGACTTACAGTTAGTGAGTGCATACGTTCTTTACTTTTCATACATATAAATGTCTGTGAAAATTATTGAAATACCTTAAATACCTTAAATAGTATTTGAACCCAGGTCTGCTATGGCATACAGCTTCACAAAACACAAAAGATATGTTGCTAGTCAATCAAGCCATTACCCTTCGCTCATGCATATCCTTTATTCTGAACTATACTGTAATAACCAATAATATCGATAATAATATTTTATGTCCAATCCCACTGGGCACAGACGTCAATTCAACGTCTATTCCACGTTGGTTCAACGTAATGTCATTGAAATTAAGTGGAAACAATGTTGATTCCACCAGTGTGTGCCCAGTGGGATGGTTCATGTTCCAGAAAATAGTTTTCAGCGAGGACAGGGAGGGAAGACAAGCAGTTAGGTAATTGACTTCAGAGACAGAGAGGATTTTAGAGAGATGTGGAGGGTAAGATAGGGGCAACAAGAGTTGGATCTTCTTACCCATCCTTCTTATAGAACTCCAGCATCATATTATCGGTGGCCACACTGAGTGGACGTCGGCTCTGATCACTGTGCTTGCGATCTGAATGGTCCATATCCGGAGAGGGCATGGAGCTGTAGTTGGCATTGTGGTTGGTGTGGACTGGGCTGCCGTAGTTTCCTGTGACATTAAACTCAATCTCTGAGAGAGGGGAAAGAGATAGATGAGGCGGTTACTTTTGTGACAATTCACATGTATCCTGTTTTATGAACTGACTCTTAAAATTGTGAATAATGTCTCCTAAGGTCGGTGACTGACTGTCATACTGTGTATGTGACGGCTGAGGCTCATCTCCACTTGCTCCGTTACAGACGGTGATACAAGGATATTAAAGCAACAGTATTAAGCCCTAATGGATGAGCGAGGCGGTTGTGCCTGACAGAGGCTGAACAGACACTGTGTCTTCCTCACCTCCAGGGAAGAACCAGTCAGCGTGCTGGATGATGGGCTCAATGATGCCTACGATCTGCAGGGACACAGTGGTCATCATCTCTGTAATGTTTCTGAAGGGAGAGAGAGGAAGAGATATGAAGGAGTTAGTTTAATTTGATGGAGAGAGAACACTCTGTACTGGAAATGATTAACTTGAACCTTGAGATATGAGTATTATGTAATTTGGACAGTTTTATGCATTTTCATGATATTAGAGAACTGACCATCATTAAAATGCTGATAAAAGTGAAGAGATATAAAGGTTAAAGATAAATGGAAATGATTAAGGAGTCTTTTTCTCTTTAAGTTGCAACCAGTGACCAGGCATTGCTTTTAAAAAGGTATGGTGTGACTAAATTATGTGGTAGAGAGAGATTAAGTCCTACCCTTCCTGCGTTGTCCACAGCAGGTTGGGGCCCAAGACTATTGCTATATTCCCAGGGGTCATTTTATTTTCGTCCTGGTAGTCGTCCAACTTGGCGAGGAATTTTATTAAATACCTGAAAGAAAACAAATAAAAAATTAACTAACTATACATTTATATTTTGAACTAACTATACATAATCATTCATGTACTGTATACTGCATTGGCTGATAAATCTCTGAATCCTAGTTTTCGGGCTCATCCTAAAATTAACCAATTGCTCAGACATAACCCCAGGCAGCTCTTTTCAATTGGGCTATGATAAGGACAGCTTTGACAGGTGTTTCGCAAAAGAAGACAACCTAAAGATAAGCCTATTTGTGAGATTCAAAGATGACACTGACATGCACTGCAGTCTGTCAGCCTTTTGATTTCTATTTCATCTTTCTTACACCCCCCACTCTCACTTCTCTTTGTGATAAAGAAAAATCCAGTTCTGGCTGCTTGAAAGCTATGATTCCTCGGTTAAATGCCTGATGTGAAAAGAGCAGTGAGGGATAGAAATGGTGAAAGGTGATGGAAACTGAAATAATTGAATGGTCAGGCAAGTCCAGGAAAGACCAGAGCGAAGTGGGTGTGGGACAGGGGAGAGAGAAAGAGCGAAACAGAGATGGCGACTCACTTGAAGTTGTTGCCGTTGGCCAAGGGTAGTTTCTCGCAGGCTGTGAGGAGGGCTTGGAGTCTCTTGTCTTGGTCTTGAATGCTGCCAGACGAACCACAAAAGAACAGCTCAGTGTAAAAGAGAAACCCCATATCCAATGATCTCATCCTTTTCAAGTGAATAAAAAAAATCACCAGCGTGGGGTATGAATCAAACACAATGAATAAACATCAGCTAATGGCAGCATCATTATAAGCAGATACTGACTTGGAAGCTTGAATCCATTCGTCGTAAAGTTCAAAGGTCATCAGTGGCTCAGGGAGTTCCCGAAGGTAGGATTTCAAAGCACCTGTCGGGACGAGACAAGAGGAGGGTGAGTGAGAGAAAGAAGGATCAAGCGAGAGGACTGGGAGGGTAAGTGGGAGAGATAAAATAAGAAAGTAAGAAGGGGTATACTACTACTGTTAAGGCCTAAAGACAGCAGTGCCAAAAGATGAAGCGCATCATAAAACACTGCCAGACACAGACAGAAGGAGAAAGAGGGGGAAGGAGAGAGTGTGTATGTCTCTACTGTAACTATATATCCTGTACTGTATGGGAAAGATGAAGCAGGACGTCATGGTATCCCTCGCATTCTGACGGTGCAGAGCAAACCACAACAGCTGTGCCACTATTCTGTGTGTATATGTGTGTAGGCATGCCTTTGTGTGTATCTATTTGCACTACTAGATATTCACATTCAATCACATTCAATCACTCCAGGGAGCATCTTTAATTAGCTGTGTTAGAGAGCCCTCTGCTGTTGACTTGATTCTAATGTGCTTGGCTGGGTGACGTGAATCCACCTTGACACTACTCTACCCTCAGGAGAGAGTTGCAAATTAGCTTTCCTTTTGGTGCTGGCTCTGCCTATCAGCCTGTTTAACATGGAATCATTAGAAATAAACATGGAAGAGGATTCAGAGATCATTATTTTCCAAGGCTCACTCAGGTTCCTATTTACATGTTCCTATATTCAGATTCGCACACAGCCAGGATCATAACAAGGCTATGTATAAGATCTACGTTGTTCTTAGGTTGACAGGGAGCCCTTGATAACCCAAACAGACTAGGGGAAGGTTTCCGGACGATCTCCGTGACAATATCAGTTGGCATGGTAACAGATGCAGATTGACAGGGAGAGGGGTATTTGGGGGGGTTGGGTTGCCAATTCACCTGCGATGGCGTGAGGGTCTACAGAGTACTCCTGTACGTCCATCACCCCACAGTCTAGAGACGCCTTGAGCTTCTTCAGTTTGGACGCAGAGGGCGCTACTCTGAACAGGCCCTGGAATGGGACAGGAACACAGGAGGTTAGGCTAATCATTATGTTGTCACTTGGTAATGGGTAAACATAGTGATAGGGTGGAATACACACCGACCTCTTCCTGCATGCCACACTCCAGCAGCATGGTGACACAGGCTTCGATAGGAAAGGCAATGTCCCGCCCGCTGAGGGCTAGGTGCTCCTCTAAGGGTTTCCCATAGCATGGCTTCTCCACCCAGGTCTCTGTCAACCACAACACACACACACACACACACACACACAGCACCAAGGTTACACAGTCAGCAGGTTAATCAGGTTATTACTAAGGCATGACATTACCTCACATACACTATAGCCTCTGTGCAGCCCCTGTTGGCTTTAACTTACTTGATATACGCCCTTGGTTCCTATAATGATGGGTGTGTAAAAAGGAAACTAATAGCATACAGTAGCTATGAATATCAAGGTTGGGTTCAGTTCCATTTAAACCACAGCAATTCAGGGAGTTAATAGAAATTCCATTCATGAATTGAAATGTCTTCACTTCATAAAAAAAAGGAAGGAATTTCTATTCATCTTCAGAACTGACTGAATTGAAATGGAATTGACCCCAACCCTGATGAATATAGAAAAGATGTGCACCAGTGCTCCTACTGCTGGGTTGACGGTGGAAAGAGATGGCATACTGTATGTGTGTAATAATGAGTGAGGGCTGGGTGGGCACTGGGCAGACAGACTCACCCTGGTGGGCTTTAATCTGAGGCAGAATATTCTGGAGAAGCTCTAACGACTTCCTGTGGTACTGTGCCTGCACCTCTATCAACTAGAAAACAGAGAGAGAGGAGAAGAGAGAGAGACTGGGCAGTACAGACTGAGGAGTGATGGAGCAGAGATGATTTTAATAGGAGGCTGAGGAGAGATATTCGTGGAGAGAGCTCTGAGAGAAGAAAGAAAAGCGACTTCGACTGTGGTTACTGAGAGGAGGAGAAAGAGGCAGGCTCGACCGCTATGACAGAAACAGATAGAGAGACGAAGAGGAGAGAGAGAGAGAGAGAGAGAAGAAGAGAGAGAGGATATGAGAGGGAGGGAGGAGAGAGAGAGAGAGGAGAGAGAGAGAGCGAGAGAGAGGAGAGAGAGAGAGAGAGAGAGAGAGAGAGAGAGGAGGATGGAGAGAGAAGAACAGAGACGAGAAAGAGGGGAGAAAGAGAGAGGAAAGAAGAGAAACAGATACACACAGAGAGAGAGAGAGAAAGAATTGAGAGAGAGGAGAGAGAGAGAGAGACAGTACAGAGAGACAGTGAGAGAAAAGAGAGAGGAGAGGAGGGAGGAGAAAGAGACAAATGAACAAGAGAGACAGGGAAATAGGACAAAAGAGAGAGAGGGAGAGAGATTAGTGTATGTCCATGCTGTACCTCAATGAAGACATAGTGAGTGGGTTTAGATATTAGAGTACTTACTGCCTGAAAGTAGCTTGCATAGTCAATTTCTTTGGCCACAAAATTGTACATGTCCGCTGATAATTGATCCTGGAAAAATACAAAAGCATAACTTCAGAAAACAAACAGCGATTTCAGAGAAAACATCTTGAGGCGCGTGAGAAAGAGAACGTGAGCGAGGAAAAGGGGATGTAGACTGACTCGACAGATCTCCATTCGATTGGCTGCCTCTTCCATCTCTTCCCTGAGGTGCTCGCCCTTGGCCCCTGGCTGCACGTTGCTGGACATACCCGATTTGGTGGACTGGTGGAACCTGATGGATAGAGGGAGAAAAGAGGGGGGTTACACATCCTACGCAAACATATTGACATCCGCTGCGTCCAAATTATCTATCCTTATGTCCTAAGTGTGCACTTGTTGATTTCCCAGTCTGTCTGTGTCTGTCCATTCATCCGCCTGTCTGTCTGTCTGCCTTCCTCTCTCTCACTCTCTATCCTCCCCACCTGTCCATAGTAGGGGTGGAGAATATGACCATGTCTAGATCCTCACTGTACAGTATGGGCAATCAAACAATGACATTCACGTGAAACGCTGTAACGAGATCCGTTCACAGGGGATTTAGTTTCTTCCTGTCTGAACATACAGCGAAATCACACACCATTTTCACACACACAGAGACACCTTGAAACACTCACACACACACAGACTCATGCAGTGCCAGTGAGCAGCTCTTACCTTGTGCGTGCCGAATCCATGTCCAGAACCAATTTTGCTAAATGTTTCCTTTGTTTCTGGATGTTGGGGATTTCCACCTGAGTGAAATCACATCACAATAAAACAAAATACTCTTTACTCTGGTTTGTTCTGTAGTGTGAGAGATTGGATGGAGACAGACATGGCAATGTCAGAGGCGCTTTACCTGCCTGTTAAACTGATCATCATTTTATCAATTACAATAATTCTGTTCTCCAGCTTGTGCAAAAGCTTTGCAGGTGTGGTAAATTTGAAGTGATAATCTCGATGACCGTGGTAAATATCATGGTTGCTATGGTCTACCGTACCTCTGCTAGTTCGTACAGGGGTTCCACCACGTCTCTCTCAATGGTGAACTCAAACAGGATGAGCTCCTGAGCCATCTTCTCCTGTGTCTCGCCACACAGTTTCAGCATCTTCCTGCAACCGGCCAATAAGAGGTCAGAGAAAGCATAGCCAATCAGAACTCAAACCAGAACAATACCTTGTGTCACTACAAAGCATGTGCTATTACTGTATGTGCTATCACAATAATGGATAAAAAGTGTAATATGCTATTGAAATGAGCTGATCGTTGATAGTTTACTCTGCTGTTGATCATGGATCATCGCTCTTTAAAACATCCTGTGACAGATGTGGCAGATGATCAATCGGTAATTAAGGAGTAGTCCCGTGTAGCTCAGTTGGTAGAGCATGGCACTTGCAACGCCAGGGTTGTGGGTTCGATTCCCACGGGGGACCAGTATGAAAATGTATGCACTCACTAACTGTAAGTCGCTCTGGATAAGAGCGTCTGCTAAATGACTAAAATGTAAATTACTGTGTGTGTGCATACTCACCCCAATAGTGAGTCGTCACCCAACACTGCAGCTCCCTCCACCAGACATTGTGCTAGTGTTGTAAGGGGCAGCTTTTTCTACACAGGAAACAGAACAGGAGAACATGTAACACTCCCCTGGAAATGTATAATCTTAATGTCAGCATTAGAAGAAGCAGACAGGCAGACTCACCGAGGGCGATCTGACAGACCTTTTCTCCACATCCACCCCCTGTTGGCCCTGCAGACAGGCGGTCAGCTTCTTGTGGGTGCTGTGGGACACCTGTTTGACCAGCTCCAGACGCTTCTCCACCTGATGGATGGAAAGAAGGACAGGGCTCACTGATTTTGGTATCTCTCTTCATACACACGGAAACCAAACACACACACACACACACACACACAAGTAATCTGAATCTCTTTAAGTGTTCCCTACACTCATCAGAAACCAATCCAGTGGAACCGATGTCGCTTCCATTGACGATTTCATTAATCTGAAGGTATTATACAGATGTAGGATCTTAATTTGAGACAGTTTGCTACAGCAAGAGAATATGTGAATAATAATGTGGATGATAATTAATCTACATTTTTGTAGGAGTTTATATATTTTTCATAAGGGAACATCAAGTCTGACACAAGTGGAAATAACAAACTTTTTAAACCTCAAATACACTACACGTTTAAAATGGTAAATCCTGCAACAGGGTGATCAAATTAAGATCCTACATCTGTAGCCTGTAGTCTGGCTCCCTCAGTAAATCAGAGGGGAGGTTCAGCCTTTGTCTCTAATTAAAGAGGTTCCATTTTGGAGCTGATTAACTTTGCCTTTGGTAATTCTAAACCCATTTCACACAAAACATACTCTGTTTTAGGGTTAGAGTTTCACATTCAGAAAAGAGGTATGTACAGTGTATTCGGAAAGTATTCAGACCCCTTCCCCTTTTCCACATTTTGTTACGTTAAAGTCTTACTCTAAAATGGATTAAATTAATTTGTTACCTCATCAATCTACACACAATACCCCATAATGAAGAAGTGAAAACAGGATTTTATAAATTTTTGTAGGGAAAAACCCCCCACAATGAAATGAAATACCTTATTTACATAAGTATTCAGACCCTTTGCTATGAGACTCGAAATTGAGCTCAGGTGCATCCTGTTTCCATTGATCATCCTTGAGATGGTTCTACAACTTGATTGGGGTCCACCTGTGGTAAATTCAATTGATTGGACATAATTTGGAAAGGCACACAGCTATCTATGTAAGGTCCCACAGTTGAGAGCGCATGTCAGAGCAAAAACCAAGTCATGAAGTCAAAGGAATTGTCCTAGAGCTCCGAGACAGGATTGTGTTGAGGCACAGATCTGGGGAAGGGTACCAAAAAATGTCTGCAGCATTGAAGGTCCCCAAGAACACAGTGGCCTCCATCATTCTTAAATGGAAGAAGTTTGGAACCACCAAGACTCTTCCTAGAGCTGGCCGCCTGGCCAAACTGAGCAATCGGGGGAGAAGGGCTTTGGTCACGGAGGTGACCAAGAACCCGATGGTCACTCTGACAGAGCTCCAGTGTTCCTCTGTGGAGATGGGAGAACCTTTGAGAAAGGACAACCATCTCTGCAGCACTCCACCAATCAGGCATTTATGGTAGAGTGGCCAGACAGAAGCCACTCCTCAGTAAAAGGCACATGACAGCTCGCTTGGTTTGCCAAAAGGCACCTAAAGGACTTTCAGACCATGAGAAACAAGATTCTCTGGTCTGATGAAACCAAGATTGAACTCATTGGCCTGAATGCCAAGCGTCACGTCTGGAAGAAACCTGGCACCATCCCTACGGTGAAGCATGGTGGTGGCAGCATCATGCTGTGGGGATGTTTTTCAGCGGCAGGAACTGGGAGACTAGTCAGGATTGAGGGAAAGATGAAGGGAGTAAAGTACAGAGAGATCCTTGATGAAAACCTGCTCCAGAGAGCTCAGGATCTCAGCCTGGGGCGAAGGTTTACCTTCCAACAGGACAACGACCCTAAGCACACAGCCAAGACAACGCAGGAGTGGCTTAGGGTCAAGTCTCTATATTATATTATTATTAAGTCTCTGAATGTCCTTGAGTGGCCCAGCCAGAGCCCGGACTTGAACCCGATCAAACATATCTGGAGAGACCTGAAAATATCTGTGCAGTGACGCTCCCCATCCAACCTGACAGAGCTTGAGAGGATCTGCAGAGAAGAATGGGAGAAACTCCCCAAATACAGGTGTGCCAAGCTTGTAGCGTCATACCCAAGAAGACTCTAGGCTATAATCGCTGCCAAAGGTGCTTCAACAAAGTACTGAGTTAAGGGTATGAATACTTATGTAAATGTACTTTTTCCGTTTTTTACTTTTAATACACTTGCAAAACTTTCTAAAAACCTGTTTTTGTTTTGTCATTATGTGGTATTGTGTGTGTAAATTGATGAGGAAAAAATCTATTTAATCAATTTTAGAATAAGGCTGTAACGTAACAAAATGTAGGAAAAAGTCAAGGGGTCTGAATACTTTCCGAATGCACTGTATATATACTTTATAAGCACACACACATGCATGCACACACACACACACACACACACACACACACACACACACAAACACAAAGACACACTAACAAAACTTCCTTTTGACTCTTACCTGTAGCAGGTCTTCGCTTAATACTTCTGTTTTTTCAGCTCTGCAATAAAGAAGAAGGAAAAAATATGATTAGGGTGGAGTGGGGAATTATGGGATACATTATCTAACAAGTTATCGTGGGAATGGGAAATGTATGCACATACCGCTTTGTCAACGTTATTACATCACAGAGTGGATGATTCATTTCCCTGATGATGCCTTGAGCTAACCATATAACAGGAATGTTTACTTTACTGTTCTCAGAGTGCTGAGAGAGAGAAAAAAATACGATGTTCTTCTGAGTAACAGCCACTTGGCTGACTTATAGAATAAACAAGGCCCAGCTCCTTTTGGGACAGGTCTGTAGCGAATAGAAATCTGACAATTTATGTCACCCACTCCCTCATCACTCACCGTCAGAATATTGCTCAATACTGTACAACAAACATTGGTTTTCTGTAAAAAAATGTTAGCTATGTTGTCATTACTTTTGGAAAATGGAGAATGATTTTGCTTTAGATCATCATGATGAGCATGAATTGATTCAATGTCTTCTCGTTCTCACTAAGGTGAATAAATACAAGAACTCACTAAGGGTCATAACCACTTTTTCCAGAACATATAGGCAAAAACGCTGCATCACCTTCATCTGTGAGTCACATAAGTAGGAACACATGGTCTCATCTAGGATTATCGGTGCCATGGCAAAAAGACGCGTGTTCGGATGGGTTTGATTTGGTAGGGGATCCGTGTGTGTTCTGTTGGAGCATGGGGGGTTGGGGGGGGTTTGATCTGGTAGGGCATCCGTGTGTGTTCTGTTGGAGCATGGAGGGTTGGGGTAGGTTTGACTTGGTAGGGGATCCGTGTTTGTTCTGTTGGAGCATGGGGGGTTGGGGGGGGTTTGACTTGGTAGGGGATCCGTGTTTGTTCTGTTGGAGCATGGGGGGTTGAGGTGGGTTTGACTTGGTAGGGGTTCCGTGTGTGTTCTGTTGGAGCATGGGGGGTTGGGGTGGGTTTGATCTGGTAGGGGATACGTGTGTGTTTTGCCCTCTACCTGTTTGGTCTGTATTATCTGTATAATCATAAAAAAATCCAAATAAAAAAACCTTTGAATAAAAAAAAATGACGTGTTTCCGTACACATACACAGACTCACTCACTCACTCACTCAAGGAAACAAACAAAACTGTGCTTAAGGGAAGGTGTGGACGAGGCTCTTCCATTGCCTGAGATTACCCTCTCTGTCTAGACATAAACACCTGCAGCGGGACAGAAAGGTAGTGGGACAGCAGAGGAGGCTGGTGGGAGGAGCTATAGGAGGACAGGCTAATTTTAATGGCTGGAATGGAATCAATGGAACGGTACCAAACACATCAAACATACGGAACCACGTTTTGACTGTCCGTTTGTAATGTACACGCTTTACAAATGAAGTTCATTATTGCGATTACTATCAATACAATAGTGTTGGTCATACAGATATCATTCAAGGAAAGGCTAAACAATACCAAATCACAGTTCATTCTAGTTCACTCCAAACCCCACAAACTATCACTATCAACCCAGACCTCTTCCAATAAGCACTCCACTCTCACTCAAACAAACAGACCTATCCCTTCTATACTATAGTCTTACTGAGCATTGTGTTTCATTCTCTTCCACAAGTGGGGGATGAAACATGTGCACACCGACTGGTTTCGGGCAATGACAGAAACAAGAGATTGGTAAAAAGAGAGCGAGCGTCAGAGAGACAGGAAGGGGGAAGGGACAAGAATGAGACCTGACTGTCAGGTCCTTTCACTATCTCACACCTATTCCCTCACTTCCATCTCCTCTATCTCACTCTCTCTATCCTTTCCCTGACAGGAATACCTTAGAACCGAATAGGAGAGAACAGGCAGAGAGAGCAAGGCCCTGTATTTCTGCAGAGGGAGAAGTTGCAGCTCACAATGAGGGTAATGCAGACAAGCCAAGCATAGATCTAGAGCTGGTGGATGGGACAACTGCTCAGACTCCTAGCCAGTGCCCAGTTCTTTTGCTCACCTCCTAAGTCAGCGCGGTCCTTTAACTCAGGCTGTTTCTATTCTCGGCTTGCGAGGCCCAGAGACTTGATAATTTTTCCATCTTCAGCAGCCTCTCTGTGCTGAGAGTAGCAGTGTGTGGTTCCCTATGTCTTCTGCTTTGGCTACTGCAGTACACACTTCAGCACTTAGCAAATTAAGCTGTGGGTTAGTAGGTGAAGGTGTGTAGGGGTGGGGTGAGTTTGTAAATGCGTGTGCATGTGAATGTGTGTGTGTGTGCGTGTTTGTGAAGAGTACATTACAGTATAGTATTAACAGCATTCTCCATTTATAAACAATCATATCAATAATTTGTGTACTTCTTCTTGGATGTAAACCTGAGGGCATAACAGTAACCAAGTGTATACGGCTCTGGCGGGTCCCTCTATTGTTTGAATTCACCCACGAGGTAATGACTCACTCATACAAACACAGGCGCGGTTTAATGAGCGGATTACGAATCAGTCAATTGTTGCGACAGGGCCAACATTGGAACACTCTCTCTTTCTCTCTCTCCCTCTCTCTCGCTCACACAGTCACACACAAACACACACACAGAAAGTCCTTTCCCAGACCGGGTCTGAGGCTGGTCTGACCGTCTGCCTGGCTCGACTGTGTGATCGATCACAGCTACGATGAGAGAACACCTGCTACATCCGCCAGAGACTGAGCCCAGACACACAGACACACCCATTTCTCCTCCTCTCTTTTTAGAGGCTGCATGATGAACGAGGGGCTAGACTAGAGAAATGCCATGAAGCAGCAGATGTCAAATACACTCTCTCACACTCCAAATTTGAAATGACAGCAGAGCGAGTATGGCCTATTTTACATTTTACATGCCTTGTGTGTTTAAAGTAATGTTGGTAGTTTGAACTGTTATGCCCTCAATAACCACCAGGCGGCATGGTTCCATGACATGTCACACCCCTCCCAACAGCAGGCATATGACTTGGAGTTCATGACCCCCTCCTCATCCAATGAACCAGTAGACTACATGAAATAAATAATACCTATCAATGGAATGAAGATAACGTATTCATCATTGCAAATGTTCTTTCTTCACATATTACCACACCCTGCATAGTGGACGTACAGTTGCGGCCAAATATATTGGCACCCTTGCACTTTTCTTAAATAGTTCCCTATTTCTTCTAAAATAAGTTGAAATAAAAAAACATTTGGGTCACCACACCTTGTAATTTGATTTTCAACATTAAAGAACACATTTCATTGTTGTGAAATAAACAAGCCTAAATCCAGAGGAAAATGTTCTATGGACCAATGAAACACAATTTGAGCTTTTTGGCATTACAGATCAGCGCTGTGTTTCTGACGACCAAATGAAGCATTTCATGAAAAGAATACCCTCCCTACAATCAAAGATGGGGGAGGTTTGATAATACTGTGGGGTTGCTTTGCTGTCTCTGGTACTGGGGACATTGAACGTGCGCAAGGCATCATGAAATCAGCAGATTATCAGGTGTTTTGGAGTCCAATGTTCAACCCAGTGTCCAAAAACTGGCTCTCCATTGAAGGTTATGGGTCTTCCAGCAGGACAACGACCCCAAACACACATCAAAAAGCCCCCAGGAATTACTCAAGAAGAGATGGTGGGCTGTTCTGGAGTGGCCAGATCTGAATTACATCCAAAACCTATGGCGAGATCTGAAAACAGCAGTTGGTGGAAGGCACCCCTACAACATTGAATAATTAGAGCAGTTAGCTGCTAAGAAGTGGGCCAAATTGCCAGTAGAAAGGTGCAGCAAGCTCATTGATGGCTATAAGAAGGGTTTATCTTGGCCAAAGGCTGTGCAACCAAGTACTAGCTCCGGGGTGGCAATAATTTCTAAATAAAAATGGTAAACTTAAGTCCACAAAAATGGAATTGGTTCTCTAATGTTGAAAATCAAATTACAAGGTGTGGTGACCAGCAATCATTACTTTCAGTCTACAGGCAAACCACTGCATATGAGAAATAGGAGACGAGCGATCCCGACACACATGCCTCTCTCTCAGGCTCTGCAGCCTCTGCTGTGTGATGTGAGGTTAAGCTTTCGTTACAGTGAATGCCCGATGAGGCTCTCTGCCAGTCAGAAGCCATTTCCCATCTTATGTTTCTAACAGATAGATCATGCAACACGCACATGAAGACTTACAGAGAAAATAAAACAGGGCCAACATTTCCTTCCGCAGGCCAAACACTACTTGAAATGTGCTAAGAAAATAGACATAACTCTAGCTAGCCTACTGTACATGCACACACACAGCACACAGGGATAGAGAGGCTGAGAAATGTAACACCGCCTCCTCAGAGCAGCAGATTCCACATGGCAGCTGCTGTGCTATCATCTGAGCTCTAGTTCTCTCTGCAGACATGTTTTTAATTCCCCAGCACTTATTTAGCCAGCCAACACACACAAACACACTCGAACACACACACAGTCATCTCCTTAATGAGTGTTACAGTACCAACACTTCTGCTACAGATACAACCAGCTCTGCTAATTTCAGACGGTGACAGAGGTTGGGTAGATTACATATGGAAGTAGCCATTAACTTAGGCTAATAGAACTATCCCATTTGTAAGAATATCAGGACTGTATACTTTAGAGTTCATCAACAAGAAAAAGAGAGTCAACCTAGTCTTGGCCATATAGGCTTATGTGCTGGTCCTTTTTTTCTGCATACTGTACAGTTGCAGTGCTGCCACAGGGCGTCAGTCAGCTAGATCTGCATACTGTACAGTTACAGTGCTGCCACAGGGCGTCAGTCAGCTAGATCTGCATACTGTACAGTTACAGTGATGCCACAGGGCGTCAGTCAGCTAGATCTGCATACTGTACAGTTACAGTGCTGCCACAGGGCGTCAGTCAGCTAGATCTGCATACTGTACAGTTACAGTGATGCCACAGGGCGTCAGTCAGCTAGATCTGCATACTGTACAGTTACAGTGATGCCACAGGGCGTCAGTCAGCTAGATCTGCATACTGTACAGTAGGTT